AATAGAAATAGAAGAAAGTCTTAGAATCACAAATACATCGGATCTACATGGAACACACTGCAGGCTTTAAGAATTGCTATTAAGCAAGAAGTGGGACTCTTCTCTGAGCTCTTTACCCGTTGTTTCAAAGAAGGATTTCCAAAAATTTGGAAAAAACAGCGACTCGTTCTTTTGCAGAAACTGAATAAACCGGCTGGAGAACCAAGTATGTATCATCTTCTATGCATTTTGAAAAAGCTTGATTCTGACGAGGGACCTAAATAATACAGGGTGACAAGGTACTGCATGGCTTGCACACTGCTATGGAACGTAGTTTATGACGGAGTGCTCCGGCTTTCCTTACCAAAGGGGCTTCAAATTATAGGGTACGCTAACGATATTGCACTAACTGTGATAGGAAAGGAACTCAGTCAAATACGCAGGCTATGCGAAGACACTGCAAACTAGTGGTGCAAAAACAAAACGAAGCAGTGCTAACCAAAAGAAGAAAAAAAGGAAAAAGGTACATTTAATATTGACTTCTATAACATAACTACCCATTGGAAGACGTGTTACAACAGACGAACGAAACGAAGGGAGACACAGAAGTATATACGACTGGCAAGACTCTGAGACGTTGCAAGAAAAAGACGGTGGACGAACATCATGGAAACATACTTATTAATCAGTAATGTTGAAAGTAAGAGACAAGAAAGAACAAATGCTTAACACTATTAAAATATGTATTAGAAACTAACTTTGTTTCCAACATAACAAGAGGGAGAAGTATTCACTGATTTCATGAACGCCCAACACTGAAATTAAATAACGTAGTGACCCCTCAATCAAACGAAGTTAAAAATACCTCGGTATTCACCTAGAACTCCCTTAAACTTAAAACCTTCGTCGTAAATTTGTTATTGGGTAAAAAATTGAACCCGTGTTAGAACTGTAAAAGCCTTCTCAATTCAGTTATAACGCCAATATGGATTTATGGCATACAACTATGGAGCTATTCCTGCGCTACTAGTATCCATAAAATAACGATTCCAATCAAAAACGCAAAGAAACTAAGATCACGGCGCAACATGCGCAACGAAAATATTAGTAAATAGAGATCTTGAAATACCAATGGTAAACACAGTAGTGACAAATATCTAGTAAAAAAAAAATTGAAAAATCATTGTAATCCCCTAGCGAAAATCGTATCCTGCCAGCTAGCCGAATACGTCTTCAGAGAAATGATCTGCTAATGTTTTGGTGACCAGAGTTCTAACTATCGTCTATTACTATTAATAGGCTAAAGCAGTAATTCATTAGTTATTGAGATTCTAAAACTTATTTTTAGGCTTAAATTATGTAAACAGATTCAATAACTAATTATTTGGTAAACAAAACTTATATCTAAAGAAGTAGCAGATAATTTTAATAAATAGAGAAGGCGCGAATGGTAGTTGGTAAAAAATGGTAAAAATGCAGGATCGGAAATGAAATTACACCACGTGATGAAGGAACTTTCAACACCCTTAACTGTTAACTTACAACGAACTACATGACTTTATAAGGGAACTCAACGAACATATGTATGCGCAGAGGTTCTTAGGCATGCATAATAAAAAAAATAAACGGGGTTGAAGAACATTTACAAAATGTACCAAAAAAGGTTTACAAAAATTAAAAGAAGACTACAAGTATAGGATAGGATAGCATTTGAGCTTAAGGAAAGTATTTGATATTAAGTTGCAATAAAGGATTTGCCACAAGCAGCATCACAGAACATTTCTTTTTTTTTTGAGTGGGCTAATATGTGAACTCAAACTGCTATTAAATTTTAGAAATTGAAGATTTTGTTCTTTTCTCTGCGCCGTCTCTACACGAACTAGCCGTGGCTTGTATGGGCTTGTGCTTAAGGTGTAATAATAATAAAGTTTAGGTAAAAATATAAATTTACACAAATTCATATTAATTTCAAAAGCTTTTAAATAAAATCGATTATTAAAAAATGTGCTAAAATAATTGTTTGCCAGTGCATCATCTGAGCGCCCCCCTTGTCCAAATGAATTTCAGGATTCAAATGTAAATGCTCCTTTTCGCATTGAGCTTAACTCCTTCACATTTACGACTTGAGCCACCTACACTGAAGACGGCTGCTTTAGTCACTATATTGTTAACCTTTGACCATTGAGACCACTGAGGTTGCGCAACGCACATAAATACGTTTAATGCTGCTGTTTTTACCATTATTATTGGTTTTAATTCCAGAGATTATTTGTAAATAGAAATTATGAATTTTTTGTCATATCATAGAAATTGAAAACACAAATATAAAGAGTTATGCCCATCGGTAATTCATATCAGAAGATTCGTTGAGTCTTGGGCCTTTTCCGCGTTTGGCTCATTGCGTTGTGTATTTTTCTTTTCGAAGTTATATTTTGCGATATTCCCTCATGTAACAGCTGTGCCTTCTCTATTTATAAAAGTTCTCTGATTTTGTAACATTTCATTTTTCACTACATTTTATGTTGTTTTATATTACTGCTAATGGCAACACTGCTCATATTAACATCCCTTTTCCAACGCTTCCGATTATTTGTAAGCTGGAAAGCTTTTGTGGAACGTACGGAGAAGATAAACTTTTATGCGCAACTAAGCCAAAAAGTGGGCTATGTTTAAAGAAAGAAAGGGCGGCCATGTATTCTCGCATATAGCTCATCTTTGCTACTCTCAGTATATTTGCTGCACTCTTATTCTCTTTGATTTCTGTTAAAATTGGCAACTCCTCTGTCAGCAAATGAGAGCAGGGCTACACACAAACACAGTTTTGTATACATCGCTGCTTTCGTTGCCCATTGATATCCGTGCTTGCCTTTCCAATTTTGCGCCATCTGCAATTGTAGCGCAGTCAGTGCCATTTGGGGCCATCAGCTAAGAAGCAGGGTAGTACGGTGTATCCTGCAACGCGCATTCGTTAAACAAATCAAAGAAAATAATTGTAATTAAAAACTGCTCCAGATAACAATAAATGGTCAAAAACTATTTAATCCGTGATCTACATATTTCCCGGTTTTCCATGCCTTACGGCGAAATATTCACATTCACAGTCAGTCGCACAAAAAAATCGAAACGAAGCGATTGATTCTTGCACAAGAACCGACTTAAACGACGACAATTGAAAGAAAGTTCAAGTGTGAAAAATGTCTATGCATGCAAAAGTTAAGTGGACCAAAAGTATCTCATTGCGTATAGATATTGCATATTGAATATGGAATTTTTTCAATCGCTAAATAATCATGTATGTTCTATCTACAAATTTGAATTTAGTACAATTAAAAATCGGCTTAACAATAGTTAAAGAAATTAATGTGGTATATTTTTTATATTAAATTTCTAATGTTGAGGCTATGAACGACTTTCTCATAGGCAAAGTGTAAATAATTTACGTAAAAAACATTATATAATTTATAGCAAGTAAAAGCATAGATGCTCTCATACTTCCTATTCGCTTTTTGAGTTGTATTGCAGTCATATTTCCGTCCTGGACTTACGTAAAACGTTTGGAGGCAGTCTGAGTTTCAAGAAAGGAAAAATTATATTGATATCAACTAACAATTTAATTTGACCCACATAACGTACTATGTGCGGATGAATATTATTTAAAAAAATTACGAGTGCCTAACAAAATGAGAGTTCAAGATAAAATGTTTAAAACTTAATAAAAAAAACATGGAACTTTGAATGTGAAATAATTTACAGTTATTCATTCTATTACAATAAACTACTACACATAAAAAGTTAAAAAAAAAGAATAACTAATTTCTTCCCCCAATATATTTGCTGATTTGGCCCCGTACTATAAAATATCTACAACGACAGTTAAGTTGAATTATATAAAAATTTTGTGGATATACGGATTTTCATATTTAGGCGCTGTTCGTATAAGTTCGTTCGCAGTTCGCAGTTCGTTTCGCTTCTAAAACGCTTCGTATTCTTCTTTCGGCTATACGTGTAACCCAGAGTTTCGCAGTTACCTTTCGTTTTCATCTGTCGGTTGTAGTTGCTTTTGTTAGGTTCATCAGTACTTTGGTGATTTACACATCTTGTTCTTAAAGTGAACATACATATCTCCATTTTTATTGAGTTCCTTTCAAAATGAGCTGAACACTTCGGTATTGGATCACAAAAATTTCATTTGGTAAGTTGTGGTGCGGGAAAGTGCATTGGAATAAACTGAGATGAATCGAGTTGAGTAACGAAAATGAAAAAGCAATGTGGGCAAAACTCGGGTATCGATGAGAAAAATAAGTGTGTTTCCTTGTGCATCGAGTCTCAGTGAGTTAAATTTATGCCCGTTTCTCGGGATTTTGCTACAATAATTGAAGAGAAAAAAAACGCTCTCTCGACCCTTGCAAAAGTATAGTTAAAACCAATTGCAAATAAAAATGGATAAATGCGCGTGCCAAAGAGAAAACGTTACTACCACACTCGTCTATACTAACTATAAATGTTTTAAATAAAAGTCTAAAGAAGATATTTAGCGTTTTATTTGTCCCCATCAATATGTGTAAATTTCAATTGAAAAAGAACATCTAAAATTTTCGAGCGATTTAGGCTTTTCGAGTGATCAAAGTATAATAAAATAATGAGTTTCCACAAAATTCAAACAAAAATGAAGTTTGTTAGTATTGAATATAATATGTAGTTTCAAGGTTAATCGCGTTTACAAGAGAACTACACATAAGTATGAGCACACTACGACTGCTGGACTGCTTGTGGGAATATGCCGACACAATTCCGTCTCTCGTTTAGCACAACTCATTCTTAATTGCCTGCAGTTTCTAATTTTGGGTACTTATCGATCGAATATACTTAGCAGTTTTTGTTAGTGTCAATGTTAATGCAACATATCATCGTCAACACTTAAAATTTTGCACCTACAATTTTGGATTTCGAATAACGACAACAATTAACGCATATACATCTAATTACATATTTGCATAAAATTGCCGATTAACGGTATGTTGAGCGCTGCTGAAACCGCAAATAAAATTTTATGCTGGGAGTTGAAATTGAAACAGTTTTGGTTACAGCCATCCTCCTAAAAGAGGTATGACCTTTTTTAAAAGCTTGCACATTAAGCACATGTTTATGAAACCATATCTGCATATTTATATATATTTGATGTATCAATTATCTAAAATTTAGTAAGTTTTACTAATTATGAATGGAATATATATATGAATGAGTCAATCCAAAGCCTTCACAATGCCACCAATTTTCTTATAGATTAATTTGTAAAGTCTAATGGGCGCCTTTATGCATCCTTATTAATAAACTATTTTACATACATAGGTTATTTTAAGTAACCAAATCAGTCATAAAGAACTATTTATGTATATAGCGTATTTATATTTTATTACATCCACACATATATATATATATATAGTATTATTTTATTCCTTTAGATAATTTCATATTAAAATCTTTTCTGAGACAAGGAAATAGAAGCATTCGACAGTGGAATAGGAAGCTGGATTGTAGGCTGGATGGGTGAAAGTGGGGAACAAAGGAGTGCTCTCAGCTTTTTGTTCATTAATGGTAGTACCGAGGACTGGCTACTTGCGGATCCTCTACAAACATATATCGAAATTTCGAAACATATTTATTATTATCAGATAATGAGTTTCTTCAATACATATTTATGTACGAAACTATGAAATTTTTTCAAAATATCCTTCTTTATTCCCTGTTCAGGGAAAGGAAGGTATTTAATTTGTGTCCTGTATATGCGCGAACTCAGATTTTAGACTTTTCAATCGTCCTTTTCTCTCAAAGAAGCTGCTCATTTGTCGAAACCGCCAATATCGTACCATTTATTGCGTATAGTTACCATTGAATATGTGTCCAAAAAACCTTTTTATTTGACGAGATATCTTGTTATTGGTGTAGCGTTAGAATTCTGGCGAGTTGACAGTCCTTGGCCGGATAAAAATCCGGGTCCGTTCCGGTTAAGTAGACCCGATTGTCGTGGGATATCTTCACGAGTTTTTCCATGGCCAACGGTACAATCACTGAAAAAATTGTTCACATTCACATCAGACAACTGTAGCATACATGTATGTATGCATGTAGCTGGCATACGAACTGACCGATGAAAATCAAGATAAAGAACTTTTTATACTCTTTTATGACATATCCAATGTATCCGTTGATACTGTTTTGCTTACTTATCTCCTCGAAAATCTTTCTGTTAGATAAATGAGAGATGGAAGAAGTAAGAAAAGGAAATTACCATTTTTTGCATCACCTCATCAAAATTGCGATACTTATATGCGAAGTATGAGTGGTTATAGCCCAATTCAGTCCATTTTCACACTAATAAATCAGAAGACAAATATAATGTTACCAACTCCATTTCATTGACTTTTGTTGAACAGTTCTAGAGATATGGTATTTCACTTAAAGTTAGGCGATGCCTCGCACATTATCTATTTTACACTGTTTCCTTTGAAGCTCTTAAGCTGTAAAATTTTCTGCTTCTTACGTATTTTCCATATTTATCGAATTATCTATTTTTAGCAGATTTCATCATAACCATTCACTTTTTACAAATTCTCAGCTCACGGATGTTTCTAAGTACCTACTTTCTCTACAAAACTACAGTTTTGTCATTTGGTGCTTAATTATAGTAGTTTATAGGTTTTCGATTAACGTCATTTAATGGATTGGCAAAAGGTCCGTTTCAGCCTATCTGCACCGAGCACTCTTGGGTGCTAAGTTTTATTACGATAATTAAATTTTTACTCAAGTTTTCAATTTCACAGACGGACCATTCCTAATTTTTAGTACCGAAACACATAATACTAATCGAACAATTATCGCTCAATCTAATTGAGATATTATATGTTGCACTCACCTCAAAAACACATTGTACACACTTTTTTTGGTTTTCTGTAAACTACTATAACTAATGTTTTAGAAATAAAAGAAAATAAATTTTTTATTTCTTTTGTTACTTGAACCATTCAGCGTTGTAACACTGATATAAAATATCCAAGCGGAACTTGGTAGCATTGAAGAAAGCAGCTATATCAATTTAATGAGGTATCCTCATACTCTGTGGTACGAAGTTAACTCGATAAGTTTATTGCTTTTATGAAAAGAGAGCAGAATCGAAGATAACTATTATATTTATTTATCGCTATGCTTGACTTCCACCTGAAAACCTAAAACTCGATTTCGTCACGTTAAATCATAAAAATAACTAGGCATTTTACGAACTTCTTAACTGTAATGTTCTAATGGATAATTAGAAATATTATAATCGATATATTTAGACTAGTATCTATAATAGGTACTTTCCTACCCTTCAAGCGTGCGGATTTTTATTTTTATTATATTTTTTATTATATCAAAACTAGTTGATCCCGCAGCCGTTGTCCTGCGTGAAATTATGCATTTTGAAATGAAAAGAAAGTTAACTTGATCATGTCATTTTTTTTGCAATGTAACGCAGCTCGATAAACAAGATTTTTTGGTTTCTGTTCCGATGTACCGAAAGATGGTTTTCCATTTCGTGAGCAACCCACGTATATCTGTTCGTATGCAAAACAGCATTTCCAAAGTTATGCCACACACTATGCGACTATTGTTGTGTCCTGTTGATTGTCATCTTAAATGCAATTTTCACTGGAAACGGAATACCTTTGAACTGAAATGGCAAATCGTTAGAACTCAAAGGAATTTGTAAAATCAAGCATTCTGCCCCATTGTATTCGATAGCTGAGTCACAATCAGTCGGCGCATGCAGATTGCGAAACATAATAACGATAGATCCTACTATGAGACGTAAATGATGTGGGGGCATACCACGCCTATCCAAAGAAATTAGAAATACCACGGGATAATTCACGGTGTCGTCTTCATTGTCAAAACGATCGATCGATTTGTATTAGCGCACGTCTCCCGGAATTTGATTTTGAATCCTCCAGTTAAGTCAACAACATCGGTATTTTTGGCTGCTAACATTGCGCGTGCACTTAAGGAATCGTAGTTACGATAATCTTCCACTATCCGAACATTCGTGATGAGTTCATTTTTTGTGAATTGATAAACGACGGATGGAATTGATATCAAACCACCGGAATTGACCCATTTCCAATTTTTAACGAAGTCGATGTAAAATGTCTACGGCAATGTCAAGTTTTTTCGTATTCCATAATTAACGTGGATTTGATGGCTGATATGTCGAAATGATTATCGCGAAAAGTGTGCAAACTTCATTTGCTTTGCATTAATTTTTAATTAAATAAATATTTTCATAAACTAAAATAAAAAGAAAATCATTATCGAATATCTTTAGATTTTGTATGCTTCATGACCGTTAAAAGAAAAGTTGACTAGATTTCTTGAGTGAGAGTGGCATTAATATCAAAGATTATCGTGAGCAAAGCTATTATATTGCCAGCAACATGATTGGGAAATACATCGGCTTACAAGCCCGAATTGAGAAAATAAATAAGTATGCAGAATACATTCCCTGTCTTGCACATTTGCAGACTGTTGTACAGAATCATTACTTTTCTCCGATTGTATTGAAAAACTCTATACATTTTTTCCGCTTCGATCTATCGATAATGATTCTACTTCAAAAATTCCGATTAACTTCCGAACAGTGTTCGGGCACTAGGTGGTCAGCCCCAGCTGATGCTACGACGGCACTTTTATGTGGATTTATCACTGTTAAGCAAGTATTGGAAGACATTTTCAATAACGTGGATCAAAAAGCCTAGTGCCGTAATATAGCTTACGGACCACTTTCAACGATGAATAAGTTAGAAACGGGAATAATAACAATTACGTGAAACGAAGTCCTAGAACGCTTGCAAGCGACTAGTGCTTCGCTGCACTGCAAGACCTTGATAAAAGGATACGTTCTTTATCAAGGCTACGTCCAAGCAATGCGATCTAAGCAATGCGATCCAGATTCAAAGATCTGACCTACGGTGAAGAATACTAGCAACAGACATCACGACGAATCAAGGAAAATACAAAGTACGACCATTTCAGCGGCTCTAGTACACTCGACGACTTTGTTGAAAATCAAACACCTGGACAACGTTTCGGATTTGAGGTGTTTCTTGTCATTATTGATAACGTACTGTCTGCTTTAACTAAAGATATGAAAGCATATCATAAAAGTACTAGTGTTTTTGAAGTACTTCGACAGCTAATATCTCTTATAACAGAAGAGATTTTGGAAAAATCCTCTAGTATGGTCAGTGCTTACGAAGATGATTTGGAGAACAGCCTAGGTGGCGAATTAGTGCAGTTCACAGCGCTCCTGAAAACAGATGTGGCTACGGTTATTGGCAGCAAGAAACAGGAGCCTCTGCAACAGCAATATTATAAACTTTTATTAAATAATTCTTTAGAATCGTGTATCCCAAACTTAGAAATAGCTTTGCGAATTTTCTTATCTCTCATGATCACTAACTGCAGTGGCGAACGTTCTTTTTCAGCATTAAAACGTATTAAAAATTAATTAAGGAACACGATGGGCAAAGAACATCTTAAATATCTCACTTTGTTGAATAAAGAGCATGACTTGCTCGATATTGAAAGTTTTATCTCTAAATTTGCCTATAATAAATCCAGAAGAGTTTATTTGTAACAATGTTGTTTTATTTAGAATCCTAAACTTGAGAACATATAGCAAACCAAGGACCCCTTGACAGAATTTGCTACAGGCCCCGCACTAGTTTAATCCGGCATTGGTAATAGCAATATTTGCTTTTACAAGGTGCGTTACAAAGTAAACACGACTTAAAAAAAAAAAACAGAACAAAAGGTTTTTCGACAAAATCAATTTATTTTATTCAAAATAGTCTCCTTCTGCTTCAATACAGCTTTTTACACTGTCCAAAAACACTCCGAACGCATGTTTTAGCTCGTTGGCTGGTATGACCACCAATATGTCGGCATAAGCCTGTAGAATGACCCCATAACGCCTTCCTTTCATGGGCAAATGCATTTTTTCGAAAAAGAAGAAGTCGCACCGTACCATATCAGGTGAATACGGGGGAGTGGTTAATGGTTAAAATGTGATTTTTCGTAAAATAAACGTCTTTCGAATGTATTGCAATTCTTACGAAGAAAGTAATGATTGCTCATATGTTCTCAGCAAAAATAAAGATAATTGCGAATATAAAATAGACGTATCAATCACCAATTTCAACACTACTCTTTATTTGACATATAGTCTGTTACATTTTTGTTTATTTTGAATATGAAAAATTAATATCGGAAAGCCAGAAGTTCAAACGTGCTTTGCAGAGAACATTTAATGTATTGCAAACCCGATTCTAATTTCTGGAATTTCTAATTTGAGAGCGTCGACTGTATCGCTACTCATTGCTCCCGCTGACCCAACATTCCTTTCGACTTAATACCCGATATATCGGTCGCTTTGTATAGGGTAATTTAGTGAGTATAGTGTAATTTACCATTAAATTCATTTGAAATTTGGTCAATACTGAAAATATATCTTAGAATAATAAGGTTGAGACTTTGTTAGTCAGGGAAGAGTAGAGAAGTTAATGTGATACCAAAAATTAGCGCAATTGATTCAAAACTTTACACAAAATTTTACACAGAAATTACTAAAATTTATTTTCTGCTAATAGAGAGAGTACAAACTGCTCGACTACACCCATATATACTTCTTTCTTGATTATAATGGTTTAGATTAATTATTCTAGAACATGTACATACGTTTGAAGCTGTTTTTAAGAGCAAAAATGGCAATTAACATTTTAACATATGAAAATGGTATTTTTGTTGCTTGCATTCATGTTTTTGATGCATTTTAATTGGTTTAAAAGTTTTTATTATAGTATTATTATGGAATAAGCTTCTAGATGGTTTTTATATTTATAGTTACTTTTTATTTCAGGTCTCACACGATTGGACTACGGCTATTAATAACTATTAATTTTATGAATAGCTCAATTAACATATATACTTATATTTGTATGTATATCGCGTATATAACAGAGTAGAATATTCGTATAATCGGCGAAGTTGTAACCATCTGTTCCGGAGTACTATCATCAATAACACTAAGAAAATATGATGGGGCCATGAGCCCGTCATTATTTGTATTAAATCCGAGTCGCAAGCGCGTCTCAAGCGGGCCTGCACCATGCTAGCACCGCCGAACCCGAGGTCAATATGCGGCCAGGACCCGGGCTGGTCGTGATGGCGCTTGCGTTTATTTCGGGGGCTCGGCGTGGCAGCACCAGCACCAGTTCCAAATCATCATCATCGGCCACATCATCATCATCACCACCGGCTTTTTTCACTTCTACCGCATCCGATAATGATCTTGAACCTCTGACACCTTCTCTGCTATTTCCAGCCTTCCTCGGCGGAGGCGGTGTGCTAACATCAGCTAATTCACGATCATTATCTAATCATCCTCTTCAAGATTCGGAAGGAGAAATTCGCAAAGAGGAGTATAACTACATATACAATAGCCACATAAACTTGCTCCCACTTGCATCCGCAAGTGATAGATCAGTCCAAAGCGATCAGCACCTTCGGTTGGAAACTCTATCTGGCTTAAAATCGTCTTCCCGTGCAACTAGACAAACGAGAATAATACGAAGTTTAAAAATAGGTAAAAGAAAACTAAACGAAAATAGACACGAAACCGAAGTCGACCGTGGGCGCGATCGGGAAAGTGACAGCGTGGGTAACTCGGAAAGTGTGATAGACCCTGAAAGTGGTAGCGGTAGTGGAATATACGATGTTGAGGACATCATCCCAAATGTGGAAGCAAAAACTAGCGCCAGTCTTTTAATTGATGATACCGCCATCAATATAAATACTGAAAAAATTTCCCTACGATATCCTACAAATTCTGCGGATACATCACAATCTTTGGACGAGGATGATATCTTAGCGTTGGTGGCCGAGGATGATCTTCTATCGGAAGAATCATTTGATCGACTCACGAAATTCACAGATGACAAAATTGGTTATGTCATTGTTGATGATTATGATGTAAAGGAGGACACAACTAGTGGTGTGAGTGAGGGCTTTTTAACTAATGCTCCTGAAAAGAAACTACAAAAACCGCGGGACGTCAAATACTTTAAAAATGAGAATAGTGAAAATGGTACTGAAGATCACTATAATTTTCAAAATGAACAAGAACACAGAAATGAAGAAGAAAAAACTAATGTAAAGGAAAATGCAAACCTAAATAAAAACGGAAAAAATTTCGTGGTACATAAAGAAAACAACCAAAATAATTTAAGGGTGATTGTCGATACTTCGTTTGCGGCCGCGTTTAATGAAAATGGCTTGAGTCACACCATTGCGACGGATAATGAGAGCAATACTCGAAATATCAATAGGTCAATATTCGAAAGCGAGTCTCCACTGACTCGACTTAATCCCTGGATATCTGCCTGTGACCTAGCACAACCTGGTACGGCACCAGATTTACAGGTGAGTTTTTTCAACATTTTCGTCATATAAACAATTATAAGATAAAACTATACTTCTAATCTTAAATAAATGCTAGTAAGGAAGTGGTAATTTTGGACGTAACCGAACATTTTAAATTAATTTTGTTTAGATTTAGATATCTTACATATTGATCGACATATGTATGTATAAATATATAGCATTGCTAACAGGAGGTAAGAAAATGTTTATTTTGGGTATATAAATACTAGGGCAAGTACTGACCCGATTTTATCTATTTTTTACGAAAGCTGCTCTGTCGTTGACAATATTTTGTCTTTGAATTTCGATAATATATTAGATGCGCAACTAAGTTTACGCTGTTTTTATGGCGGATGAGGTATGACTTCCCATTAAGTGTTTCCTGGTAGGTTTGATAAGTTTGGCATCATGAGGCCGGGCGCTGTCGTACAGCAGAATTTTTGTTTTGAATCATTTTTGATATGAAATTTCTTGACTTGTGATTCCTAAAGATGAATCAAGCTCTTCTTGTGATTCACGGGAGCTGTCCCCGTAAAGTTTTTTGAGTTCTTGATATGCTTCAGAAGCAGATTTGTTTAATTGCAACGACAACATTTCGGACATATTCGCACAAACAAATGTATATGACACATAGACAAAATCACTAATATGGAAACGCAGTTTTTTTTTCAAATATCTAAGTTATATATCAAAATCGATCACCACTAACTGCTACTATTGACGAATAGCGGGAACTGAGTTGTGCCAATAATATTTCGCAGATTGAACGACATTTAAAGTAAAAATTCATCCACTGGCACTATGTACATACATATTTGTGCAGAGTTTATTGAGATAACATCATCATCACTTTATTGATACACTCTAATGTGAAATAATCCCCCAATGAAAAGTTAAAAACAGCCTCGCGCTGTTGTTAAAGCTTAAGCGGTGTCTTTGCCAGTAAAGAAGAAGAAAGTGAGATAGTCACATGGAATATAAAACTTCGATATATAGGAAATGAACGAATAATATTATCTACCAAATTTGGATAAAATTGTCCAATTTTTACACCAATTCCTATCAAGCCCTGAAGTCCCATAGTGGCTCTGAGATATGAGGTTTATTTAAGCATTTATGGTTTTTCGCTTAACGCAATTTTGTGTTGGTGACAATGGTCAAATTCCGCCTATCTGCAAGGCCTGCCTCTTTAAGCTGCCAAGAACATGTATACTAAGTTTTACCAAGCGAACTCACAAGCACTCAGAATGCAATTCGCCTCGCTGTCCTGATCATAAACATTTACATATATATACTATATCAGTTTACAGGTGGCGGTTTACACGTTTTGATCCCCATGCGGCAATAATATATGAGCCCTTCTTTTACAATTTTAGCATTATGTTAGGAATTATGGTATTGATAGAAATTATATGTGTCCTTTCTACCAAATTTTCAGCTCTTTATTTAAAATTATTTTTTCAAAATATTTCATTATTGATATATGTATGTTCATAATCCTTTCGACAAAGTACACGTGACCGTCACGGTGTTTAACTTTAAGCCGCAAATATCTAAGATCTCTTAATGGGGTTTTCTGTACAAATTTACTCAGCAGTCTGCTCTAAATATATTGTACTTGCTTTCTTCCGCCAATATCTCTTCCTTCCAGAATGAAGAAACTGTTCCCAATTTAATTGTCGTCAAACTGCCAACGTACCTATTATTCTTCTTGCTAACAAAGACTTCTTTCATGCAATTCTGCTATTTTGCTCATCCCTTCGAAGGACTGTGTCACGCAACCTATTTTCTTTAAATAATTACACTTTTTGATCGACCTAAATCGTTTAAAGTAGGATTGTCAGAAATCGCTATGTGGGGTGTATTGGGGCAGATAAAAGTCTTAGCTTGCTGCATTAATATCTGGCGTTGCTCAGGTATACTCGGAAACATATTTTGAAGCAATTTATAAATAAATAGTTCACTTTCACTGAAATATTCTACATTGTTAGAATATCGAATATTATTAAATGTAGTATATGGAAGTTGAGGTAATTCGATGAAAACTTTCACATATTTTCAGCATTAAATTATATGTATGTATATTGTATCACTACTATACGTTCAGTTAATTTTCATAAAATATCTTACATATTGACCGATATATATACATATGCGGTATAAAGTCCGAATTTGAAAAACTTATAACTATAATACACCTTTATAATTATACTCTCGCAACAAAGTTGCTAAAGAGAGTATTATAGTTTTGTTCACATAACGGTTGTTTGTAAGTCCTAAAACTAGAAGAGTCAGATATA